AGAGAGAGAGAGAGAGAGAGAGAGAGAGAGAGAGAGAGAGAGAGAGAGAGAGAGAGAGAGAGAGAGAGAGAGAGAGAGAGGTATTGTTTTCTGTCGAGGGGTTCCATTGGAAGCAGGGCTGACTTTTGCTGTTGTTTCTATTTTTGGTAGACGGTGGTCGAGAGGGGAGGGATATTGTTTCCCGTTGAGGCTATTTTGCACGCTTGTGGTGGCTCATTCTTGTCGCTTGGCCTCTTGGAGATGATGGACGGAGAGGAGTGTAGTAGCCTGGTGTTGCCGATAACAGGCTCTTCTATAGGACTTGAGGACTAGAGGACTTTCGTTTATCTGTCATTTTTGGTGAAGAGGCCTCTTGTTGCTTGTTGAGGCGCAGCAATGCAGACTTGCATCGGTCTATTTTTGTCGTCCTATTCTCACTTTGCTATAGGAGAAGATGGAGGTAGAGGTGTCTACCTTTGTGGTGCTGGGAGAGAGGCCTCGGGAGTTGGGCTCAGTTTTCCGTTGTTTTCTTGGGCTTGACAAGGGTGTCGGAGGGCTGTTGTCGTCTGTTGAGTTTGCAAAGCCGGTTTACAGAGGTCAGTTTGGTGGCTCTGGGTTAGCGGTTGGCCCTTGAGGAGTGCTGGCGCACGCCCAGCTGAAACGCGTAGGGGAATGTGCGCGGTCTGAGCTATGGGCTATTTTTGTGCAGGCTCTGTACTGACTTTGACTTGACACTAGACACGGAGAGTTGGCTACGCTATTTCAAATCTTCAATTCAATTCTGTTGTTGACTGTTGAGTTGCAAAGGAGGCTTTTAGAGGTTCACTCTTCTTCTTCTTCTTCTTCTTTGTTTTCTTCTTCTTCTTCTTCTTCTTCTTCTTCTTCTTCTCCTTCTTCTTCTTCTCTGCTGCTGCTGCTTGCTGTCTCTCCTCCTCCTCCCCCTCCTCCTTCTCGTCCTCCTTCTTCTTCTTCTTCTCTGCTGCTGCTGCGTGCTGTCCCTCCTCCTCCTGCTACTTCTTATTCTCTGCTGCTGCTCCTGCTGCTGCTTCCTGTCATTCTTCCTCCTTCGTCACCCTCTTCCTTTTCTTCTTCTTCTTCTTCTCTGCTCCTGCTGCTTCCTGTCCCCCCTCCTCCCCCTCCTTTCTCACCCTCCTCCTTTCTCACCCTCCTCCTTTCTTTCTTCTTCTTCTTCTTCTTCTTCTTCTTCTTCTTCTTCTTCTTCTTCTTCTTCTTCTTCTTCTGCTTTGGTCTTCCAAAACATGGAGGGAGAGGCTGCTGCAGTTCCTCCTCCGCAAGAGGGTCGTTATGAGATAGTTGGTATGATCGGTAAAGGATCGTTCGGAGATGTCTTCAAAGGTGTTGACAAAGAGACCGGCCAGGAAGTCGCGATCAAGATCATCGACTTGGAAGAGGCCGAGGACGATGTCGAGGACATCCAGAAGGAGATTGCGGTGCTGTCGCAATGCCGATCGCAATATGTCACGGAGTACTACGGCTCGTACCTGCACAACACGAAGTTGTGGATTGTGATGGAGTACATGGCGGGTGGCTCGGTTTCCGATTTGGTGAAGACGGGGCCACCCTTGGACGAGTTTTCGATCGCGTCAATCCTGAAGGAACTACTTCAAGCGCTCGAGTACCTGCACGGCGAAGGGAAAATTCATCGTGATATAAAAGCTGCCAACATCTTGCTGACAGCCAACGGAGACGTGAAGGTTGCGGATTTTGGCGTCTCTGCGCAGCTCACGCGCACGATCTCCAAGAGGAAGACTTTCGTCGGGACACCGTTTTGGATGGCTCCGGAGGTCATCCAGCATTCGGATGGATATAATGAGAAGGCGGATATCTGGTCGCTGGGAATCACGGCGATCGAGATGGCGAAGGGAGAGCCTCCGTATGCTGATCTTCATCCGATGAGGGTGCTTTTCCTCATCCCGAAGAGCAACCCGCCTCAACTCGATGACCATTTTTCGCAACCGTTCAAGCAGTTTGTGGCTGCCTGTCTGAAGAAGAATCCGGCGGAAAGACCGTCCGCGCGAGAGCTCCAGAAGTACCGTTTCGTGAAGAATGCGCGCAAGAGCCCGAGGTTGCTCGAGAGGTTGCGGGAAAGAATGGAAGGCGGTTTAACGCTCGAGAATCGGGAGCTGCCGGGGACCGTCAGCATGGGGGGGACAATTTCGGAGGTGATGATGAGGTCCGAAGGGTCGCTGACGAAGCCGGTAGCAGAGGCTGTGCAATCCCTGGCCCATAGCCACCCCTCGTCCGACTCCACGTGGGACTTCGGAACAGGGACATGGAAGATAGGGGGAAGGCAACAAGCGGTCGGCGGAGAGAGCGAGGAGGGCCTTGGGGCGGGAGGGGTCCTAGGAGGTAGAGGTGGTGGCAGCGACACGAGGGAGAGGAGCGGGAGCCAGACGTCCACCGACAGTGGTTCGACGGCAGACTCCGTCTCCGACAATAGCAAAGGGTCCGATCAGTCTGTGGTGGTTGGCGGTGCCGCCTCTGGCCAAGATGGAAGCCCCAGTTCCAAAGGGGAGGGTATCGACTACAATGTCAGTGATGACGATGGCGGGGAGAGAGTCGCAGTAAGCGAGATGGGAACGATGGTCATTGTGAAGTCTCTGAAATCGAAGACATCTGCTGCCGAGGCCCTTGCTCACTTGAAGAATCAGCCAGCATCCAGAGGCATGCTGCCTCCTGTTGGCCCTGCAAAATTTTCGGAGTCCCAATCGATGGGACGAATCCCGCGCACGAGCTCATCCATGTCTGATGAAGATCCGGCCGGCAGCAGTTTTGACTTCTCATCGGATATCGGTGACACTGTGGTTGTGAAAAAAAACGAGTCCCCGTTTGTGAGACGGAGCATGAGCGCAAACGTCCGAGTTGAGCCACAAGGACCTCCTGCTCCCTTTGTCCAGGAAGACAGTGCCACGAACCTCGCAGAGGCACGGGCGGCTATGGCAGCTGCTGGTGCAAAGGGAGGGAAGAAGATGGGCAAAGCTTCGTCTATGAAGCCTCTCCTGCCGAGGAAGCCGAGTGAAGAGTCCGCCCCCAAGCCCGATGCATCGGCCGTCACGTCCCCTGCGCTTTCTTCTCTGCTCATCCCAGCACTTAAAGAGATTGCAGCCGACCGGGCGGAAGGAGGTGCTGCGATCCGAGCAGCGTCAGATGCGTTGGAAGCGCTCACCGGACTAGAGAGGGTAGCGCCGGGTGCGTGTGAGGCGCTTGTGGGTAGGTTAGTCGATAAACTTGCGAGCACAGAGGATCATGCCATCGAAGAACTTCGACAGCAGGCTCGACTGGCGCTTCTTGCCAGAGGATCACGTGGAGCTGGCAGCAGTTTGGCCGGTGAGAACGGTGAGGGGAATGGCCGAGGTTGTGACATGTTATGGATGGGGGTCGACAGAGGCGCGGGGAGGAAGCTGGACACCGCAGGGCTGAGTCCGGTGGCATCCTTTCTCCTCAAACGGTGGCAGTTGCAAATGTCTGTGCGAATGACTGGGGACGCCCTGCGCCTGTAACCGCCAGCTCAGACAGACGTTGGCAAGACAAGCTTGAGACAGTAGGTTTGGCCACTGCTATCACTGATGGCAGAGGGTCGCAGGATGATTCTGACACAGCAGGTCTGAGCGCGGCTCTGTTTCTCCTGAAAATGTGGTGGCGGTTGTACACCTGTCTGTGAAAATGGCTGGGAATGCACTACTTAGTAGCATGAACACAGACGACGAGCGCTATGCGGATGACGAGCACTATGCGGACGACTTCCTGATTGAACTCATCGGACCTAGAGCACTACCGTCTTCACCCAAGTAGAATGCCTGGTCATTATCGCTGCATCTGGACTGAAAGTTGCCCCACATCGGGCTATGACAATGACCGGGCGTTGTATTCGGGGGGTTGAAGACGGCAGCGGATGGAATACGAAAGTCTAGTGGGGGCACGATTTCTCGAAGTAAGGCTTAGCCCTTGGGTTTTCTTTTCAAAGCCCCTCTTAACGTGAGCTAGAGGCTTCCACGGGACGGCTTTTCTCGAGTTCTTATCAGCTCCTCCTCCAGGCTGGTAATGCTTGGTGGCGGTTTGGAACTGGCAACCTTTTGAGGTCCGCATAGCATGCTTATCGCAGCAGGCAGGCCTGAGCGACATTTGTTCTCCAGAAAATGTGTCTGTTCAGATGTGTCGAAGCCCCTCTTAACGCGAGCTAAAGGCTTCCACGGGACGGCTTTTCTCGAGTTCTTATCAGCTCCTCCTCCAGGCTGGTAATGCTTGGTGGCGGTTTGGAACTGGCGTCCATGTGTCATTTTTCAGTGGTATGCTGCCAGGCATGCCAGCCAGTTTATGGCAGTCCAGAACCAGTGCCCGGCACTTTCAGGTGTCTGGGTGAATGGGGGTTGGGAAGTACCTCTACCTTCGTGCCCGTCGGCATTTGTACAATGGAAACTGTGGAGTAGTTCCGCGTGTCATTTCTCAGGGGTTTACTGCCAGCCAGTTTATGCAGCCGGGAACCCTTCGCTCATCGCCATTCGATCCAATCCGTCGGTTCAATAGCATCAGTCAAGGCGTTGTTGTCATTGATTGGTATCGCGGTGACACAAGATGCACGCATGATTCTGATGTCGACACGCGCTGTGTCGACAATTCCGGTGTCAATGCGCTGTAGCGACGATTTTGGTGTTGATGCGCTATATCGCCGAGCGGAGTTGATGCGCTGTATTGACGATTCTATTGACGATTGTGGTGTCGATGTGCTCGGTGCGCTGTATCGACGATTGTGGTGTCGATGCGCTCGATGCGCTGTATCGACGACTGTGGTGTCGATGTGCTCGATGCGCTGTATCGACGATTGTGGTGTCGATGCGCTGTATCGACGATTGTGGTGTCGATGCGCTGTATCGACGATTGTGGTGTCGATGCGCTGTATCCACGATTGTGGTGTAGATGCGCTGTATCGCCGAGCCGAGTCATGTTACCAGGCCTACTTTCAATGCCTTTTCATGGCTATAGAAAAAATCCCAAGTCTCCAATTAAGCGTTTCAAGCGGAGCACGAGCAGCCATGGCTTTTACTGACGCCGGACATTCCAGAGATGAAGGGGTGTGGAATCTGTGGATGATGCGAACAGGCAAAGCTTGAGCTGAGCGTTGAAAGGGTAAGAGGTAAACCAAATGGAAGTGAGTGTCGATGCTTTCTGCAAGGGCAAATTTGGAATTGAACACTTCCAGCAAGGGTAATTGTGGAAAGGAAGGGAAGGGGAAAGGGAGTGTGTTGTAAATCTCAAGCCTAGAGTTTGAAAGGGTCAGAGGTAAACCAGAATGGAGTGAGTGTCGACACTTTCTGCAAGGGCAAATTTGGAATTTAACAGTTTCGGCAAGGGCGAATTTGGAATTGAATACTTCCTGCAAGGGCAAATTTGGAATTGAATACTTCCTGCAAGGGTAAATTTGGAATTGAATACTTCCTGCAAGGGTAAATTTGGAATTAGATATTTCCTGCAAGGATAAATTTGGAATTGAATACTTCCTGCAAGGGTAAATTTGGAATTGAATACCTCCAGCAAGGGTAAATGTGGGATTGAATACCTCCAGCAAGGGTTGATGTGGAAAAGAAGCAGAAGCGGAAGCTGTATCATCTATGCTGCGGCGAAAGAGGTAGGCGCTGAAGTGAGAAAACACGTGAAACGGGGCATGGTGGGGGCAGGAAAATGGATGAGCTAGTGATGGTAGTGAGCGGAAATAGGAATATGTCGTGGAGGCGAAGGAATAGGAATATGTCTTGCAGGTGAAGGAATAGACAGCCAGCCGCAAAAGAGACAAGAAGAAGACACGCAGTAGCTGATCTGTCGTCAAAAAAGAAAGAAGGAAATCTCAGATCTGGGACAGGAATTTCGCTCTGCCATCCCGAGTTCTCGTGAGCGGGGAAATCTGATGTGAGGTCTACCATAAGGTGGAAGGCCACTGATAAGATCTGAGTAAGAAAGAAGGCTGGCAAATGTGAAGCCGAGCTGAAGGAATGAAAATGCCACGGAGCCCAGCACTACCTGATCTTTCCACAAAGGAAGAGAGAAATTGCAGACGCCACGGAGATCAGGACTACCTGATGTTTCCACAAATTGAAAGAAGTGACAGACTATAATCAAGTTGGGGTTCGAACCCCAAGAGGATCAACAGTAAGAGGACATGTGGACAGGAGTCTGTCTGAGTTTTCCTAAGGTGGAAACCCTCGAGCTGAGCAGGGCATTACATAGATCGACATGACCTCCAAGCAATGAAGAATGAAAGGATTCAATGTTAGAAAACGGCTCTGAAGAGTGCGTGCAAGAGAGAGAGAGAGAGAGAGAGAGAGAGAGAGAGAGAGAGAGAGAGAGAGAGAGAGAGAGAGAGAGAGAGAGAGAGAGAGAGA